ATGATATTTCCACTTTCCCAATTTTTCACAGCAGCCCTTTTGACATGAAATAGTAGGGTAAACACAGGTGTTACCAGTGATACTAGTTAATGCTCTGTTACATTTAGTTTTGCAGAGCTTTTCCAGTGAGCCAATGTGATAGATTGATTTTATGTAAAAAAAAACAAAAAAAACAGTTGTTTAAAAAGCAATGAATACAGAATACATGCTAAAAGGTTGAACTAACAGAGTTAGTCAGAAGTTGAATTAATCTGTGATCATCTGTTGATCCTTTTCTGAGGAACCACCTGTGATTGATTAGTTACGCCTGCAGAGGTCGAAAGGGGGAGCTCTCCATAGATATACATAATAAAGGAGCTCTCGGCCACGATGCCTCAATCTGAATGAAGCTGCCAGAAGCGGAGCATCGTGTCCATATGTTTTATTCATTCACTCCCCTTTTCAGGGCGCAACACCAACATGGACCCTGACTCTGTTTGACCTAAATGTAACGTAACCTTAATTGGTAACACCTTAAATTTGAACATTGAAGAAGTTGACTCACCTGGGCACGATATTAAATACGATTGTTGCAAGTTCATTCTGGTCCACCACAGCCAAACTGTTTCCAGCAGACAGCGACAAGACCAGCGCTACAGCCATCCAGCACAGGCCCGCCATCTGAGAGTTTTAAACAAACATCATCAGCGTAGAGGATCTCAAAATGTCTCTAATCTGAAAATGTTGTCAGTGTAATAACTAGTAAATAGGTTATAAATGATCTTGGCCATTCAAATCAATGCAAAAACCATGAATGTCATGCATTAAGCATTTAGTACGACTTCATTAAATAGACAGATTTTCTGTCAGCACCCTCAACTCTGACTGACTTCCAGTGTCTCTGGCTGAAACCACCACTTTGAGTTTTCTGAATAATTGGACACCTGAAACAATAATTCGATTACCTTACTTGCCAGCTAGTAAAATATTGGCCACAGATATAGAGAGTTTTAGAAACAAAAAAAATCTACATTTCCAAAACTGCTTAGAAAACTCAAAATGAAAAACGGTTAACAATTTAATATTTTCAATTGCAACTATTTAATTTTAAACGTTTTTTTTACAGTGTAGTGGACCGGAGGTTAGGATACACCTGTTAATACAATGGATGGATTATGTTGTACTGCTCACATATATTTAGCAGTGTGATTTGGCCACACTGTTCTTCAGTGAATAACAATTTCATTTGTGCCATGGAGAGGAAAAGCACAACTACATTTGTTCTTACTTCTTTAACCATAAACTAATCTAAATTCATTGGTTGCGTTTATTCTTTTTGTTGAGCCATGACATTTAATTTTAGAGTGCACCGTGTTTGATGGTTGACATGAACACCTGCAAGTATGGCTGTGCAGGAATTCAATATTACTGTTACCTAGTGATTCTCTGAACATATCATGTTATTAGCATTTAAAAAATAACAAAATAGTCAGTTTAGGTTTAGCTTAACACATATGAAGAGTTTGGGCTCATGTAAGGCACAACGGAGGAACACAGCTCATGACTTTGGACATCAACGTAGTTACCATATTGTGCTATATCTTTATCAGAAAATACCTTATTGGTATTATAATGATGATTTTAGAAATATTCCACAAACCTACTTGCAAGAATTTCACTGCAACCCTGTCGCCTAAAAATGGTATTTTATATCTTTTATAACATAAAATACATTTGAAGAACTTAATGCTCACTGAATTACGTCGTTCGTTGGCTCAATAAATGTTTTTAAGGAATGTATCTGCAAAACATTCACTTTTTTCATTCACAATTCTGATACGCGACTGGTTTTCATTTGCTTTTCTCCTGTAACACTGGGTACTGTATATATATATATACATACAGTGTAAGGGAGAGCCAGTATGGAAAAACATACATCAGTACATACAGCACTCAACACTTAATACATAATACTCTCAGACTTTTACCCAGAAAAATAGTTTTGGACGACAAAAACTACATTTATTCAAGCAGTAATTTTTATTTCATTAGAAGTTGTTTATTGTTTCATTGGTCATATTTATGATCATTTCAGATTATTTTAACACATCCTGAGTCTTTCAGTATAGAGTCAAATCAGGAGTCATTGTTGGGACGAAAGTGATATTTCTTCTTCCCTACAGTACAGTAATAAAACTAATTAAATTATTTATTTTTACACTTTTGTACAGTTACATGTTCCATTAAAACTGTTTTATTGTTCGTAAAACAATAAACAAAATAACAACAAAATAAATCTCATCTCACACTACAACATCCACTCTTGCAACACCTCATTGCTCATAAGCAACTAAAGCGTGATTCAAGTTTGTGGCACACAGAGCATTAGATTTAAAGATGTTCATTTACCTGTTTGTTGGAGAAAGATGTCTGTCGGATGCTCAAAAGCTGTCGTCTGCTTCTGTTTGGCTCTCAATGTTTGGAGGGTGAGTTGCAGTGACTAAAATAACCTCCGAACACTGCTGGTGGCAAATAACAACTGACCAACTCCCCGACAAACTGCCCTGCCCTCTGCCCACAGACTGCCCCCTGAGAAAAAGAGTGTCACACCAACTCTGCCTCGTCGTGACTTGCAGATTGAGGATGGTGATTAATTTGGTTGAAATGGAGAAGAAGGCG